CATAGGGAGCAAGCGTACTACCCGCACACGCTTCGCACGCCTCTCACACGCTTCGTGGCTCCATGGACAGCTCCACCAAAGGCCCCTAGCGGCAGGGTCAGCATGGCGCACCCGCACCCGATTCGGCAGAACGATCACACGCTTCGTGGCCCCATAGGGAGCCCCACCGAAAGCCCCAGCGGCAGGATCAGCTAGGCGTTCCCGCATCCGATTCTGCAGACCCACACGTTTTGTGGCCCCACAAGGAGCCCCACCGAAGGCCCCAGCCGCAGGGTCCGCATGGCGTAGTATCCGCACCAGATTCAGCACACCCCTCACACGCTTCGTGGACCCATAGGAAGCCTCACCGAAAGCCACAGCGGCAAAATCCGCATGGCGCACCCGAGCCCGATTCCGCACACCACTCACACGTTTCGAAGCCCCCTGGGGAGCTCCACCAAAAGCCCCAACGGCAAGGTCCGCAGGGAGTACCCGCATCCGATTCGGCTCATCCCTGACACGTGCCGTAGCCCTATACGGGGGCTCCACCGAAGATGACACTGATCACTGTGGTACCCACAATTGCATATGAGTGGGTCATTCGCCAGGCTAATTGATGTTCCTTAGGTGCTCACTGATATGATGTCCGCGCTCTCGCTGTGTCGAGCTTGCGACAACCGCAGGCGGCCCCAAGACTGCCCAATAAATCTCTAAAGAGCGCAGAGACGGGCAAACATACCCCCAAACCTCCAATACGGCCCCAAGACAGCCCAAGCGACCTCCAATACGGACCTGCACCTCACCAAGACGCCACCTCTATGGCCCAGGCAGGCCCCCAAGACGGCCTCCTTCGAGGCCCCCGAGAGGCCTCGGCGAGATCCCAACGAACATCCAAGAGGCCTCATATCCACAACCCTGTCACGGTGGCGGCATGTGCCGAAGACCATTATTTAGCTACGTGTATGTGTGCGTTTAGCTGATGTGCCAATATATACACATACATATATAATCATGCATCCATCTGCAAACGTACCCAGAAGCACGAGTTGGTGTGTCCTCAGGTTGCCTCATCCCAGAGCCTCAGTTTTCAGTTCTAGGGATCCTTCTAAAGGCCCAGACCCATAGCTGTCAAATATGTTGGGACTTCCCGCGTGTCTCCTGAGCGCACAAGCATCTTGTCTCGTGACTTGTTCGGAGCCAAGATGGCTCCAAGACTGACCAAGAGGGCCCCAGGATGCCTCCAAGACGGTCAAAGATGGCTCCGAGTCGCCGAACCCTATGTTCAATCCGCCCCTGACGGCCTCCAGATGGCCCTATACGCCTTCAAAAGGCTCCTCAGAGGCATCCAAGAGCGTTCCGAAGAGGGCCCCAAGAGGCAACACATGCTGATTTCCCAGAAGGGCTTTGACAGATTCTGGCCTCCGTCTTCCTCCGAGATCGCTCCAAGGCGGCCCAAGAGGCCTGTAAGACGGCCTCGAGGCGGCCCCGGAGGGCGCCAAGACGGCCCAATAGGGCCCCACCCAAGACGACCCGAGAGGCCTCCAAGACATCCCCAAGAGTTGTGTTCCCCCTACCATACTTAGGACACATCCCTGAAATAGTTCCGAGCACCCAGAAGAGCTTCGAAACAGTGTCGCACGAGGATCGCCTTCCGGGGCCCCACGCGTGAAAACCCCCTCCAGTTTTGGCACTTTCTTGGTGTTCGAGATTCTTTCTGGTGATCAAGGCTAAAGTAAGTTGGAACATCATAGCCCAAGAGGGGGCCCAGCCCTGCCACACGCTCGTGATTGCGGAAGCTGATGTGGTGAGACTACCATGGCCATGCTCAGAGTGTTTGATGATGTTGCTAGTCAAAATGAGATGATAGCAACTTCGATTCGCAACTCCCCCCGCGGATTATGAAGCTCGGCCTCCGCGCCCCTCTCCACAATTAATTCCTGTTGAACGTGGGTAGTAAAAATAGAGGGGGTTAAGGGGGGTATGTTTTATTATCGCCCGCACGCGGTTACCCCAAGAGGGGGCCCAGAGGGGGGGACCCGAACGGACGTGTCGAGCCTTTGGTACTCCGAGGTGGCCCCGAGAGCCTCCCGAAGGCCACGAGGCGCCCCCAAGGGGCCCCCATGAGGCTCTGGCTACCGGCCTGACCTAAGGCACCCCAAGTAAGGAACGAGGCCCCTCCTTTTTCCCATAAGTTCGACGTCGATCTCCCATCGGGAACTTGAGGGAAAACCAAAGGCAAACTGCAAAACAATCAGGGAGCACCGAGCCCCTCCCCAACGCGAAGGGTGCCTTCTGCTTCAGCGCCCCGGCTGCACCTGGCTATGCATCCAGAACGCCTGACGCCCAGAACCCAGGCACGGTGGCGGGTCTAGCCGAAGGGCATCACAGATATTGGAAATGTTTTAGATGCGCAAATATACGCATGGCATCTATCGCCCTCTATTCCCCTTACTGTACATATCTTTGAGATCCACCAATGCTTACGCTGTATGCTCTCCAGAATAATTATATAATCCTGCTCTCTAACCTCTACTGTCTTGCACCTTCCCTTAACTATTCCCCAACCATCCTGTGGTATAGGGTCCTCGTTTTGAAGAGACGGTCCCCGCGTTCCTCTCCTCTCCTCTCCTCTCCTCCTCCTCCTCCCCCTCCTCTTCCCCCCCTCCTTGCCTATGCTCTCCGCATGTCTCTGTTTCGGCACGCCCCTCGCACGTTTCGCGGCCCCATGAGAAGCTCCTCCGAATGCCCCAGCGCCACCGTCCACATTCGTCCCCCACACCCGTTTCGGCACACCACGCACACGTTGCGTGGCCCCATGGAGACCTCCACCGAATGTCCCAGTGCCACCGTCCACAAGCGTCCGAAAAACCAGTTCGGCACACCCCACAGACGCTTCGTGGCCGCATAGGGAGCCCCACCGAAGGCCCCAGTGGTCCACATGCGTCCCCCACACCCATTTAGACATCCCATCACACGTTTTGTGGCCCCATGGGGAGCTCCGTGGCTCATTAAGGAGCTCCACCCACGTCCCCAGCGCCACCGTCCACATGCGTCCTCCGCATCCATGTCGGCACCCCCCTCACACGTTTTGTGGCCCCATAGGTAGCTTCACCGAAGGCCCCAATGCCACCGTCCACATGCGTCCCCCACCCCCATGTCGGCACGCCCCTCGCACGTTGAGTGGCCCCATAGGAAGCTCCACCAAAGGCCCCAGAGCCACCGTCCACATGCGCCCCCCACACCCGTTTCGGCACACCACGCACACGTTTTGTGGCACCGGGGGGAGCTCAACCGAAGGCCCCAGTGCCACCGTTCACAAGAGTCCCCCACACCCATTTCCGCACACCCCTCGCACGTTTCGTGGCCCCATGGGGAGCTGAGGCCTCTGTGTCACCGTCCACTTGCGTCCCCCACACCGCACACCCCTCACACGATTCGTGGCCCCATAGGGAGCTCCTCCGAAGGCTCCAGTGCCACCGTCCACATGCGTCCTCCACACTCATTTCGGCAAAGCCCTCACACGTTTCGTGATCCCATAGGGATCTCCACCCAAGTCTCCAGTGCCACCGCACGCGTGCGTCCCCACACCCATGTCGGCACCCCTCTGACACGTTTGGGGGCCCCATAGGGAGCTCCACCGAAGTCCCCAGTGCCACCGTCCATTTGCGTCCGCCGCACCCATGCACCCCTCACAGGGTTTGTGGCCCCATATAGGGCGCCACCGAAAGAGATGCTCACAAGTGCGGTACGCACAAGTGCAGCATATGGTTGGGTCCTTCGCCAGGCTGATGTGTAGTCTCTGTGGCTTGTTTGCTCTACGCTCGGCTATTGTATACACTCTCATTCGCACAGTGGTCGCGAACACCCAGAACAAATCAATAATCTAGAAACCCGACCCTACCATGAAGCCTGGACCCAGAACCTCGACCCGAAGAGACCGGCCGCCCACTGAAATTGACCAAGAACCCCAAACTGCAAACCTTAAAACCGGGCTGCCCAACAAAATCAACCCCGCCACTTTCGCCGACTCTTTCAGACTCCAACGGAGCCTCTTCAATGCGAGCACTGATTCGTGAACTACCCTCTGTTCTCACTCTCTACTGCGCACTCCCTGTAGTTGTTTTTTTTGCATTGAGTTATGCAACACGTCAATATTTAAACGCGTGTGTATACGGTGTCTCCCTCTCTATGCTCTCTCCCTCTCTGTCTCTCTCTCTCTCTCGCTCTACTCAATGTCTTATTGTGGTATGTAATATATATATAGAGAGAGATGTGTACACACACATATATATATACATAAAGAGAAAGAGAGAGAGAGAGAGCTCCTGACGTCCACACTGCAACACAAGCAAGCCGTTATGGATGCATACGCAGGTACATCGGCATACGCTATCTATGTGTGTATATCGATATGTGTATGAATGTAAATGTGTATATATCTATATATGTCAACCATTGTCTGGCCACTCACATTTGCTATGTCTCCACAGTGCTCTCTCCTATACGACATGTGCTAGTCACTGCTTACTGCCTACTATACTACTCTGACCGTGGTCAGCAAACACCTGGGTCCTGACCGTAACCAACAACTCGAAAACCAGGCAACCCTACAACGCTGGGAACCCTGTACCCCGAACTGAAGGCCGGGGACCTTAGCCGCCCACCGAAATCGATCCAGAACCGCGAACCGGGAACCCGGGACCTAGAACCAGGAACCCCGCCGCCCGCCGAAATCGGTGCCGCACATTCGCCGACTTGGACAATTTCCGCTAGGACCCCTTCAATACAAACACTGGTTGGGGAGTCAAGCGACACTCCGCATCCCCACTGCCTCATCACACGGTGTGGTCACCGCACCCTCTGGGGGATCCAATCTGAAAGAGCCGCCGAGCGAGCGACGAAAAGAAGCGGGTCTTACACGACCTGATGCCAAGGCTTGCGCGGGCCGTGCGCCACTCTGGCAACGAGGAAGCGGGCAGCTTCCGCGAGAGTGCGGTGCTATGTTTCGGGGGTCCCATTTTTCGGGGCTGGGCCGCATCTTTTACTAGGCGCGTGTATTCTGTGCTCGCACGGACACGCTTTACAGTGCTACCAGTGCTACCAGGAGGAGGATGAGGAGGAGGAGGAGGAGGAGTGCCACACCTTGCAAAATCACGAGCAGAAGCCCAGGATCCCGTCTCTCTATGCGCCACCTCTCGAGCCGCACCCGATCTGCCGAGAGAGCCCTGGGGCCCGACGCCGGGCGCAGGCGCCCGGCTGGAAGAGATCGCGACGCCAGCAGCTCCCGGGGACGCCACGCTTCTGCGTCGCTCGGGCTGCCGCCAGCAGGGCTCGAGTGAAACAGCGTTTTCCGTTTTCGTTTTGTTTTCGTCATCCCTAGTTCTGTCTTCGTCCCACACGTGCTGCAAAACGAGGTCAAAACGAAAACGGCCCACGAAATCCCACCAGCCCTTTGGGCGTGAGTGGTTTAGCGAGCTCTCTCTGTTCTCAACCCCCCAACCCCCCTTCTTCCCCTTCGGGGAGGGGTTTACCCCTCCCCCTACCCCCTCCCCCTGGGCCTGGAGAGGGAGCCCGGCGGGTGGCCAGAGGGGCCGTTTTCGACTCCTTGGAGGGCTAAAAAACGACACCCCTCACGAGGACTCTGGCCCAGACGGGGGGGGAAGAAAAAACCCTCTCCTCATTTTTGAAGCTAGAAACATTGATTTTACGACGGTTTCGGCCCATGTTGGCCTTCTGAGGGGGCAGCGCTCATGAAAGCTCATAGCAAAATCATTGATTTTACGTGGGTTTTGGGCTCATTTTGTCCTTCTCAGGGGGCAGCGCTCATTTGCGCTTCTGAGGAGGTCGCAAGAGGCCCCAAGATGGCCCCAAGAGGCCCCCAGGAGGCTCCCAAGAGGCCTCCAAGAGGCCCCCAAGAGGCCCCCAAGAGGCCCCAAGAGGCCCCCCCCCAAGAGGCCCCCAAAGAGGCCCCCAAGAGGCCCCCAAGAGGCCCCCAAGAGGCCCCCAAGAGGCCCCCAAGAGGCCCCAAGAGGCTCCAAGAGGCCCCCAAGAGGCCCCACGAGGAGCCCGAACGACTCACACCAGGACGAGGGGCCCGAACGACTCACACCACGAAGAGCCCGAACGACTCACACCACAAGGAGGGGCCCGAACGACTCACACCAGGACGAGGCGCCCGAACGACTCACACCACGAGGAGCCCGAACGACTCACACCACGACGCGGGCCCCGAACGACTCACACCACGAGGAGCCCGAACGAGTCACACCAGGAGGAGGGGCCCGAACGACTCACACCAGGATGAGGGGCCCGAACAACTCACACCACGAGAAGCCCGAACGACTCACACCAGGACGAAGAGCCCGAACGACTCACACCACGAAGAGCCCGAACGACTCACACCAGGAAAAAGGGCCCGAACGACTCACACCAGGACGAGAAACCCCAAACGACTCAAATCACGAGGAGCGCTTTCTCTCCCTCCTCCTCCGCCTCGTCCTTCTCCCGCTCCCCCCACAAGGAGGATAGACAAGGAGGCGGGAGGAAGGAGGAACAGGGGAGATATGCGGGGCCAACCGACACACGCCTGAAAATCACGACTGTCGGCATGCTTCGCGAGAGTTGCTGCTGTGAGATGGGTTGGTGGGGATACGCGAAGCGTAAAGAATTGCCAAAACACCGTTTCGCTCGAGCCCTGGCCGCCAGATCCTGGACGCCCGGCACGGGTGCGGAGAGAAGGGGTACCATGCCCCACCACAGATGCTGTCCCAGACCTGCAGCGGCCGCCGTTGGGCAGGCGCGGCCTCCTGCCTCGAATGGACACAGGCCGCGGCGGCGCGGACAGCGAGTCCTGCTCATTCTTTCCGTGCCCAGTCGGGCGTTGGTAGAACAGGGTTTAGTGGAAACTGGTTTAGTGATCTGTACCGGGGGCGCCCCCCCGTCCCATTTCCACTAACCGGAACTGCCGTCACCCGAGAAAACACGAGCTACGGAGGCCTGGTTTGGTGAATCTGGCCAATTTAAGCGCTCCGAGGCCCTACCACTAACCGGGTCCCCTTACCCGGGGTCCTGGCTATACCCGATCATTCTTTCCGCGCCCATGTCGGTCGTCCCGCCGGATGGCCGGCCCGGTGGGTCGGGCCTCGGACAGCGCCGCCCAGCCGGTCCAGGGCAGGGCGGGCCGCGGGGCGGGCGGCGGGGCGCGCGCGGCGCGGCGCCCAATGCGCCCGCGCTACGAGGGTTAGGTCGGGCCTGTCCCCCTACAGGGAGATTTTGGGCGAAACATTAAAACATATTATGAAAATGCCCCCAAGTGGCCAACAAAAATATCAAAGCATCCTCTGACCATGTTGGCATGTCCCCCCTGTGGAGGGACAAGCCCGACTTAGGCCGAGGGGGGGGGGGGAGAGGGGGGGGGGCGTGTGGGCGCCGCGGCCTGAGGCGGCCGCGCCGGCGGGCAGCCCGGACGATGCAGGGGCGAAGACCGGCAGCGGCCCCTGCCCATTTTGGACAGGGCTTGCCGCCGGCGTCGCTGCGGGCGCGGTTCCCTCTCGGAGCGACAGCCGCCCTCTTGCTGCGGACAGCGCAATCCCTGTAGGTTCTGCTGCTGTCTTTCGCGTCGGGCGTGGGGGCATGCGGGCCGCTGCCTGAGGCAGCCGCGCCTGCGGGAAGCCCCTCTCCGCCTGCCCTCAGCCCCACAATCCCACCATCCCAATTGGGGGTAGGCGCCTAGAAAGCCCAAAGGGATCCGCCACCGTACCCTCAGACACGAGTTGGAATGTGCTCAAGCCCCTTCGAGATAATGATTGAGTCCTGTGTACAAATATATATATATATATAATATATATATATATATATATATGCGTTAAGGGGCCCGCAACCCAGAGTTCGGGGCGCTCCTGCGCGCTCTTGGGGGGTGCCGTCGTGACAGTTCGAGAAGCCAATAGCGAGCTGTTTGGGAGATGCATGTCCAACTTGGTTTCAGAAGGCCCAATTGAATGTCCTGGAGCCCTCTTGGGCGACTCTAGGGCCATCTTGGAGGCCCTGCAGGGCGGCCCAAGAAGCCAATATCGTCAACACATATCGGTTGTTGTATGGGTTTCGCATTACCGCTTTCGGTCTTCAGAGCTTCCAAGACGGCCCAAGAGGTGCCAAAGATCGCCCCAAACGGCCCAAGGGCCGCCAAGAGGGGCCCGAGAGGCCTCCAAGACGGCCCTCCGATGGGGAACACGAACTGACATTTTAAGCACTCCGCCACAAGATAGCCCGAAGGTCCCCGCACAGGCCCCCCCGGTGCGCCCAAGAGGCCGCAAGAGGCTCCCAAGAGGCCCCGCGGCTAAAAGCAGGTCCCACGATGCCCCCAGGAGGTCCCACGATGCATCCAAGAGATGTCCGAGATGCCTCCCAAGATATCCTCACGTGCATGTGCCCCGGCGCCTGTCCCAGGCTTCCTGGCGCGCCAAGCAGATCCACTGCGTCGCGGCACCGCTACAAATACTGGGCATGACCCGCGGCTGGAACTTGCACGGTTCCCCCCGGGGCCGTAGGCGACCCGAGGAGGAGGAGGAGGAGGAGGAGGAGGAGGAGGAGGAGAAAGGGAGGAGGAGGAGGGATTAGGAGGAGGAGGAGGTGGAGGAGGAGAAGGAGGGACGGGACCAAGAGGGCCCACGCCCCCCCCCCAGGCCCCCCACCAGATGCCACAAACTCCTCCCCCTCCTCCTCCTCCTCCTCCTCCTCCTCCTCCTCCTCCTCCCCCTCCTCCTCCTCCTCCTTCTCCTCCTTCTTCTCCTCCTCTTCTCCTCCTGTTCCTCCTACTCCTCCCCCTCCTCAGTTCCGAGGAACCCGAAAAATGCATCTGAGATGCCCCAGAAGGACAGACGGCCTAGTGAGCGCTTGTTATTACTCCGCGATTCGACCTTGGGCGGAAGGGGGGGGTCTGGCTCCAGACCTCTGCTTCGTGAGACTGTTTGCAAGAGTGCTGCCTCTGACGGAGACTCCACCCGCCCCAAACAAGCGCCAAAACACAACCAAGATCTACTCCGAAAGGGGTGTTGGGGGCCCGCGCCGATCCGCAAAACCTAGAATACCGAAGAGGCCTTGAGAGGCAAGGGACTGACCAGACAGCATCATGAGGCAGCGCTGCAGCAGTGTCAGGCTCTAGCATTATAACTTCCCCCAAGCGCGATTGCGGATATGCGTGGCAACGCAACAAGATAATGCCAATACAACTATCGGTGTCGCTCCCCTCCTTCGTCCCCCCCTTCACCTGCTCAGGATGTCATGCAAACAATTGTTGTTTGCCAAAGGGCCACTGACAGTATGATCAGGCAACAATGCTTCAGAATGTTCAAACTCTGGTAACGCGGCTCGCGCGTAGACAGACGGAGCACACGCGGGTCACTGTACACACGCGAGCCGCTGTTCACACATGAACCACACGTTGGTCGCTGTACACGCGCGATGTTTGCAAATCGTTGACGACGTAAGTAAATTGAAGACACCCTCGAACCGTGGTGCTGACAGTGGAGGCTACCTCATTTTGCCAGCCCACTCCACCCAACGCTGAATTCTATCGTCAGCCCGTATCTTTTCAAGAGTGTTATACTCTTTCGCAAGGCCTGTATTTGGAGCGATTTTGTGTATGTATGAATGACACTGCGAGCACACCATAGTGCCATAAGTGTTGAGAAAGCTTCGACTTGGCTCACCCTTCACCCCGGCGCTGGCCAGTTGGGAAGGCTTGTTCAAGTATGTGGGATGCGTATCCTTGGGAATGAGATGATGGAAAGTGAGCAACTTCTGCCTCCGACACAACTCACACTGCCCTTCTCGGAGTTCACCTTCAGTGCCTTCGTCGGCAGCGACAGTGCTCATTGCCCGTATGTTGGCAATATCTGTTGCTTGAGGCTTGCCGTACGTCAAGAACACGACGCGAAGCTTGCTACCAGTAATGATTTCTTGAACAACGGCCTCGTGCCAATCCTCATCCTCATCGAGCAGCGCTACCACCATGTCGCCAACTTCGATAGCTGCCTCAGGAGTATTCAGCACACCTTGGAACTGCAAATCTTGTATCACCTTACGGATAGACACATCGTTGCCATCATCGTCTAATGTCAACTCATTATCATCAAGCACCTCCGCCAACAGCACACACCACTGCTCCTCCGACACTGGCTTCCTTTCGAAGGCGTATCCCATCAATGCACCAGCCACCATGATGGCCTCGCCCTCCTCTGCTCCGAAGAGTGGGCATACCTTTCGAAGTGACCTGGCGATGTGAGTCATGGTGCCATCAGAGTCTTCCCGCTGCAGTCTCAATGGTGCGAGACTTGGTTGCTCACGAGTGACTCCTTCCGTCTCGGCTCGAGCGGCGGCTACTCTTGCTCCTTTCGTCTTCGAGTTGGTTGGCATCCAATCGGGAAGCAACAAGCCAAGCCCTATTGTTCTGGTCGGTCCCAGTGCCCTACGTCAGATTCTCGAGCCAATGTGGCTATAGACTCCCTCCACCGGCGCTTGTTGACGTAGACATGGGCATGGGGGCATGCATGTGTACGGCTGCGACTGCGACAGGCGTGTAACGCTGCAGGGTGCGGCCGAGGCACATCGAAGCACCCGAGACACGACTACACAGTATCACCGACTGCGGTGTGGACACGCGAAGGTGGACACGCACGTCGATCTACTTCGCCCGCCGAGGTGCTCTCGGGGCCATCTGCGGGGCGTGTCGGGGAATTCTTGGGTCATCTTGAAAACGTTTTCTCCGGGCTCTGTCTGGACCTCTAGGAGCCCTCACACGAGTAATATGGGGACGAGCCCAATGTGAATTCAAAACCGAACATACGAAACCCTTACAGCCAGAACCAACATATTCACCCGCTTGAGGTCTTTCTGGGTGACTTGAACCTGGAAACAGCCGCCTACCATCTGGGCCCCGTTCGACCGGAACCCAGCCGAAAACGACCAGAAGAACGCCTGACGCCCAGTCGGCCCCTAAAACCCTCTGATCCGACAACTCTCAGAGGAACCCACGGCCGTGGCGGCGGCAGTACGGTCATCGTGCTACCATCAACAAAGCCGAAAAAAGGACGGAGAAGTGTTTCTGGCCACGGTGGGAAGCGGCTTCGAACGGGCTCCTCGACCTGGATCTGAACGGCCCGAAAGCCTAAGCCTCTCCTGAGCCCAGAGTGGTCCTTGTTTCAGCGTCTGGACTGCAGAGAGAGAAACGCCTCTGCGTAAACAGAAAGTTCGTGAGAACCGCGCGGGCTGGTCGGCTCGGCGCTGGGGCCCACCTGGCGCGCGGAGCGTGCCAGGGCGGCGCCCGAGGCGCCGCCAAGGGGGACGCAGCGCCGATCCCACGCGGACCTCCGAACGCAGATGTTCATGCAGTGTTCTCTTCTGCAGGGCAAACCTTACCAGCCTCGAACGTATCCCTATCCTTAAGGTCGACACGCCAAAAGGCGATGACAATCTTAGGGATCCGCCCTCAAAAAGTAAGGGAATCCCTAATAACGGCATCGTGATGAGGAGATGCCCAGCTTAGGGATAGGGATATGTTCCAGGCTGGAAAAAACGGTCGACCTGGTTCCTCCTCCTGGGCTCTAGAAGCGTGCCGAGATCCGACATCGAGGAATAATGCGGCATCGCGAGGCCCTAGGTCCGATGTGTCTGCGTCGCTGTTCGAGCCGTGGGGGTCCCGGGGACCGAGACATGGCGAAACCGGCTGCGTCGGATAAAATGAGATGCCAGTTTTCGGGAAACGAGCTCTATACACCGACGTTTGTTTTCCGACACTGCGCTGGAATTCGCACAGGAACGAAGATCCTGGTGTATACGGGATCCTGGTGTATACATTTGTCGCTGTTTCCCTTTGGATAACGGGAAAAGGGTATACACCACAACACCCCGACGTCGTCAAGAAGTCCTCCACTGGAAATGTAGATGTTCCAATTTCCGAAGTATCTCAGGGGGCCGAAGCGGCGTTGGAGCGCCGCCAGGTGTGCTGACGCACTTATCCTTCTTCTTTTTTCCCCAACCCTCCTATGGTTGGGTACTCGTTTTGAATAGAGCAGTGTGGTTGCCCCCGCCTCTTTCTTCTCCTCCCCCCTCCTCCCCTCCTCCTCTCCTGCCTCCTGTGTCCCCCTCTCCTCTTCTCTCGTGCCGTCGGGCCGCGATCTGCGCAACTGTCCGATGCCCTCTCCAACGAGAGTCTGAGCAGAATCAGTCTGCACACCGGTCCAAACCTGGCGGAGCGGAGACGGGCCGTACACCCCCGTACAATGCAGAGGGGGGGCTCACGGAATGAGAAAGCTTGCGAAACCGCAGTCCGATGAAAAACAACAAAATTTCCACAGGGCGGTGGGGCGAGCTCCGTGTCCAACATCGTATCGATCCTCTCGATACCCTTGGCCAGGCCACTGGGAACCACAAAGGGATCAAACGTGGTGGGAGGACCACCGGGATAATGCGCGCAGACGGCAGGGGCGACCAATGCGCCGCGAAGTTCGTGCACAGACTGAGAGCCCTGCACCTCGCCAGGCTCCATGTTGACATCCACCCCTAAAATCCATGGGCTGGCAGAAAAGGAGATGAAGGACCCAATGCTTGCCAGGAGTTCCATGTTGTGGTCTGACATCCCTTCCACATGAAACAGACAGGCAGAGGCAACCAGGAAATGAGGGGTCCCAGGGAGCTCCACCGAGCAAACAAGACCCCTGCCCGGGGACACGCTACCTCCTGGAAGGTCCTGACAACCGAGCCAGCTGCGCACGAAAATGGCGACACCCCCACTGGTATCCCCCACAATGGTGGCCGAGGCGGGCGACCAAACCGACTTCCAACCTCGGCGGAGACACAGGGCGCTAGCCTGTCCGATGTCTTCCGAGGAAATCAACCGATGCTCCTGGTAGAGCACAACGTGAGAGTTACAACCAGTGAGGAGCGTAAGCATGGTACCACAGGAATTAGCATTGACGGTCTGAACCTGCAGGGCAATCGAATTCGTCTGATTAAAGCTGCCGTGCTGTTGGACCGCACAGGCTCCATGCAGGGCGCTGTGAGCCGAACCAGATCCAGCGCTGCGTCCCGAGACCAAATATCGAGCATTTCGAGCAAAAAGGTGGGGGCGGAGAGCGGCGCCGAGGACTCTGATCCACCAGCGGTTCAGAATCCAACGCGCTCCCAGACAGACAAGCATCCTTGCAAATACAGGCCCTGGGGCCAGGCAGCGGGAGCCTGACCAAGGCGGTGCGACCAGGAACCCCCTTTTTCACCAACGAGCACACTGGATACACAGGCGAAGGCCGAGAGAATCTCCCTTGCATGATATACGCCGAAAGGCCAGAGTGGCCCAGAGAGCACTCCCCAGGACCAGGAGAACCGAAGACAGACACCCACAGGCCACAGAAAGCAGGCCAACGCGGTCGATCATGCAGGGGGGCGGAATCCAGAAGGCTTGCCACTCGCAATCTCGTCAGCACGTGAACGCGTGGAGGCTGCGTCGCTGGCCGCGCCTGCTGCTGCAGCGGCAGCGGCGGCGCCCGCGCCAGGCACGGCTGTTTCACCTTGGCCAGCTGCTTATGCACCAGTATCATATCCATCTGTTTCACCTGCTTCGACGAGACGGCGTTTCTTCTGTAGCCGATCTGCGTGGGCTGCATGATCAGCTTTGTTGGCGTCCACTTTGGCTTTGGCCTGCGAGAACACTTCCAACGCCAATGTGATGGCGCCACTCTTGAGCTGCTGCGCCCGAGAACCCAGATCGCCTTGGCCGTCTGCCGAGAGACCACAGTCCTCCAACTTGAAAATGTCGCCAAAGTCGACGTCGAAAAAGGGAGAGGGCTTCGACTCGTTGAGAAGGATCTCGGCGGGCATGCGAGGGGCAGGTGACTCCTGAGGCAGAGTGGCCTGCAGCTTCAAGACGGGCTGCTTGTGATGTTCTTCATCATCAGCGAGCTCAGCCCGAAGCTGCACAACGTGATCTCTCTGAGCTGACACCTGTTGCTCGAGAAAATTGCATTTGCCAGCCGCCTGCCCCGTCTTGCGCTCAGTGGTCTCGCCGCGCCGGGTGGCTCTATTGAGCTGGACCTGAGTAGACTCTGAGACTGACTTGGGCTCAGCGAGCGCCTTGGCAGCCACTCGGTGGGCAGCTGCTCCGACCTTGTCGCCGAGCTTCTCGCGCAATGTCGCCAACTGCATGTACTCCTCGGCAGACAGGGGTGGCTTGGAAGCTTCATCAGGCAAGCCCCCTTTTGCCGCCCTCGCCTCCTCCTGTGCCTCCACCAAAGCCACCAGATGTACCGTGGTCACCTGCGCGGGCTCCATGGGGGGCCGAAATGAGCGCGCCGCAGTGCCTGCAGAAAAAGAACCTGGCTTCATTCGTGTCGCACCCGCAGAAAGAACACTTCCAGCGCTGCCCCTCGGGCGCTGGGCCGCGCCGAACGCCGTCACCAGCGGGGGGGGAGGCGCTCGAGGGCCAGGTGTGAGTGGCGGCCGCGAGAACTCATACTGCATCATGGGGCCGATGACTGCACTGTCCGCGCTGCTGACCTCCAGGCGACGCCTGCGGAGCCGAGCCCCGCGCGCGGCGCCGCGGGGCCCGAGAGACCCTGCCCTTGCCGCCGCCGCCTGGGCCGCCTGCAATTGCTGCCGAAAGGACGTGGGGGCTGCGACTCCTTCGAATGATTGAGGGGGCGCCCTCGACGATAGATGCCGAGCCAGAGGCCCGCAACAGCGCGACGCCGTTCAGAAGGCATACTGCTGCACGCTGAGGCTATAAGAGCCTGAGCCAGAAAGGCTGCGCGTTCCAAGAAACCCGCCGCAAGGAAGAAGAAACCACGCGCAAAGATGCACGAGGGCCCAGGCGAGGTCAGCTGGATTTCGGCGGTGTTTCTGTTCGAAGTTCGAATTACACTCGGGGGGGGGGGGGGGGGGGGGGGGGGGGGGGGGGGGGGGGGGGGGGGGGGGGGGGGGGGGGGGGGGGGGGGGGGGGGCATTTTTTTTCGCCTGGGTCTCCTCGCCGGCGTTTCCCGCTCGAGCTCTGGCAGGATGTGGCGGGCGCCGTGGGCGCTGGGCACAGGCGGCAGCGCGGGCCCTTCGCCACCGCCAGGCGCAGCATGGCTGACCTGGGCTGTGGAGACGGCGTCAAACTCTGGGGGCCCCGTGGGCCCCCGGAGGCTGGTGGCCGCAACGCCGCCCGTTGCAGGAGACTCGAACGGCGCTGCTGGACGCGGGGTCGCGACGAGAGGCCCGCGTGCCGGCCGGGCGGCGTGCCGACTTCGGGCATGTAGGCGGCCGCGTCAACCGTTCGGCCACCCGCCGCTTGCTCCAGAGCGAGGAGCTGGCGCCTGACGCGGCGGGCGCCCTGCGTGCGGTGCTCGCTGGGAACGTCGTCGCGCAGACGGTGGCCGCGAGGTTTGGGCCGACCCGCGCGATGCCCGCGCTGCGACGCCGCGGCGGGAACCATGGAGCACCGATTCTGAGAGCGCCCCCAATGGGCATCGGCTCGCCGCGCCTCCCAGCCAGCGTTCCGCTGACCAGGGTTCTGCCGCTGGAAGCTCGACTGTGGGCCTGGAGCAACGGCGCCTGCGACCACCCCACACGCCCTCTCT